GGGTGTACGGCGCCTAGGTCAACCTGGCTAGACACACGGGGGAGTTCGACCCCACTGACTAAGTACTTCGTCGTCATCATCATCAACAGCAGTACATCAGCCATTTGAACTGGTGCTTCGCTGCCATACAACCATGAGGACCTATGAAATAAAGAATAAGAAGAGGGAGAGAAGGGGGACTTACCTGGAAACCTTAATGCCCTAAGCAAACATTCAGGGTCAAGGCGCCTACACCTTGTGTAGACAACATACCGTCACAAACAGCTGGCTATCGTGCAAAGATAAGGCGGCATCGGCGAGACAGCTTCCTTGCGGCTTTCACTGCCACGCGTCATAATCAGCCATTACCCCGCAGATAATTCAGCACCAAACACACTTTAAACAGACAATCCGATTAGGAGACGGCAGCAGACGCGCCACTGGTGTCGGTTGCGAGCCATATCCTGTAAAGTCTCGAGCCAAGCACAAGGTGAGTCACGTGGACTCCAACCCGGAAGGCGAGACGGACCAACGGCACCCAGTTTGGTCGTCAGTGACTTCATTTCCCGCTGCCAAGTCAACTTCTGTCCACCTCGAGCCTTGCGCCATCCTACACTTGGTAGACTGAACAAGGCCCTCCTAGGTAAGCGGTGACCAGGCATACGTAGCACGTGCCCGAGCCAACGCAACTTATTCAGTGCTATCTGTTGTCCTAGGGAGCTAGCATGAGTATCACCACCTAGTACTCGCCTACGCACATCATCGTTGCGGACACGCTGGTGCCATCCGACTGCAGCAATGCTTCGCAGACAACGATTATCAAAGACTTGAAGGCGCCTCAGATCTTCAGACCGAATGGGCCAAGTCCCACTACTATAGAGCAGAACGGCCCTCACTGTGGCCTTGTATACACTGTCTTTCAGACGAAGGGAAACTCCTTTCTGTCGCCAAAGATGCCGCAGGTTCAAGAAGGCAGCTCTGGCCTTTGCAATGCGTGAGCTCACGTCAGTTTCTATGCGCCCATCATTGCTGATGCAGCTGCCAAGATAAGTGAAGTGATCAACCACCTCGAGTTCCTCGTTAGCAAGCGTCAAGGGGTCATCAAGTGGCTGGTGGTCCTGCAGCAACACTTTGCACTTTGAAGGTGCGAAGTGCATAACAAATAATGGGACCACTCTGGATAGGCTATTCAGGGTTGATTGTGCCGCCTCAACATTGTCGAATAGCAAGACGATATGGTCCGCATAATCTAGATCAACTAACCTTTCACCAGGCAGCACTTCAACGCCTACATTACGAGATTCCGCAAGGGAACACTCCATGATAGAATCCACGACGAAATTGAACGAAAACGGGGAAATCGGACAACCCTGACGAACGCCACTTGTAGTCGAAAAGCTATCCGATAGGACACCGTAGACTCTGACGCGGCCTGTAGTGTTCGAGTATAGAGCACGAAGGATGTTCACATATTTCGTGGAAACACCTTTTCGCGCAAGTAATTCGAACAGAATCGATCGATCGACTGAATCGAACGCACTCTTGAAATCGAAGAACACAGCTATTGTCGGTCTGCGGTATGCGTGGCGCTGCTCTAGCACCTGCCGCAAAGTAAATATATGGTCTACACAGCCACGTCCTGGGCGAAAACCAGCTTGCTCTTCACTAATCCGAGATTCCCGTTCCGCAGTGAGGCAACGAACGATAATCGAGGCCAGTAATTTCGTCACAACTGGCGTTAGGCTAATACCCCTGTGGTTAGAACAGTCTGTGCGACTGCCCTTCTTGTATATTGCCACTATAATCGATTCGCTCCAATTAGCCGGCACACTCTCTTCGTTCCAGATACGTTCGAATAGGGAGGTTAGTGCCCTGCAGAGGACCTCACCTCCATTCTTAAATAGTGCAGGTGGGAGGGAATCCGGGCCAGCGGCACGAAAACGATTGAGGGCTGTGATCGAGTTTCGGACCTCGGCCTCCGACGGAGGCTCTAAACTAACCGTCCATGGCACGTCCTGCATCACCTGAGTAGGAAGAGGTCCGGGAACAGGGGGCCAGCTGAACTGATGTTCAAAGTGTTCAGCCCAACGAGCCATATGGCGCTCCTTATTGTGTATCAGCACACCCGCGCTGTCTCTGATTGTCTCACTGACGCCTGGTTTTCTGGGGTCAGTGGTGCGGATTAGCTGGAAGAGCTTGCGGTAATTGCCTACTGCTCCTGCCTCCTCCATTTCTTGAGCCCAGCTGATCCACCAGGCTTTCTCGTCAGCGTGTAGGCTCTGCTTTAGTTTACGTCTAATAGCCCGTCTAATCACATTGTGTTCAGAACCAGCCGGGAGGTGTCTTCTAGATTCCAACTGGTTCACCGACCTCTCGGATATCCAGTGACTGGTGAGGTGACGACTGATAGTGCCACAAGCAGATGCTCCTGCGTCGTGCATAGCGGCCGAGATCCTATTCCACTGAAGCTCAGTATCATTAGGACATGACAACGAGAGTTCGCTATGCAGTGCTTCTTGATAGGCTTGCCTGACCGAGAACTGAGACAATATCTCAATTGCCAATCGTAGGAGACGCTTTGTGCGCCTCCCGGTAAAGTTCATGGAGAAACGATAACGTACCAAGGCATGATCAGAGTCGACACAGGTACTCCAGTACGCGCGGCAATCCAGGATGGAACCACGCCATCCGTAACTTATGGCTATGTGATCAATTTGGGTCCATCGCTGGCCAGCCACAGGAAGACGCCAAGTGGCACTTCAGCGCCCACTGTGTCTAAAAGCAGTGCTAGCAAGAAACAACTGGTGCTCCGCACACAGTTGCAGCAGACGCTCACCGTTGTCAGTCCGTTCGGAGTTAAGTCCACATTTACCACCTAGCTGAGCTTCTGAAGAGCTCAGACGCCCCACTTGTGCGTTCATATCCCCTGAAAGTACTATAATATCTGAACTAGTAGCACTGCGTAGCAGCGTGTTCAGTTCGTGATAGAAAGTGTCCTTGACTGCATTAGTACTGCAATCGGTGGGAGCATACGCAGAAATCACAAACAAACGGCGTTATGTACTACTTCGTGAATCAATCTTAGCTGATGTCGTCAAACGGGCTGCACATAAACAGCCGTTCACCGGAACCCAATCAACCAACGATGGCTCAGCCTTGGAGCTGAGAATGATACCTGCACCAGCTTGACCCGTGAGTGTTGCATCGGCGTCTCCGGATGCGTGCAACCAAGAACGAGAGGATAAGCCGGGTGCAGTCAATTCAATAACCCCGTTAGGGTCATTGATTTTAGTTTCGGACACACAACACACATCAACACCCAGTGTGTCCAAGGTGCGTGCGAGTGCAGCCTGTTGACCTGTTTGTCTTAGAGTGCGGACGTTGAATGTCGCCATGGAAACGGGACAGCGTGGCCTTATAAGGGACTTTTGCCGATAGGCGTCCGATAGGTGTGGTGGGATGGTGGCTGCAGATGGTTCTACTCCAGTGGCATTTCGGTTGCTGTCAATTAAGTTGGGAATTATAGAAGAAAGATTAGGAATGGGGGTCGGGATGGGAGTAACAGAAAAAGGAGGAAAAGGAAGAAGGGAAGCGCCAGTAGTAGAATGTGTTCGCTTATCCGCCCTGCTGTATGCAGCAGATAAGGCGACCCTTGATAATCTGAGCGACGGCCGATGCAGGATGAAGCTTATATTTGAAGAAATGTCATGGTTGTATGTGGGCTGAGATACTGCCAGGGCGCCCAGACCTAGACAGGATGACGATTAGGGTCATCATCCAATGCCTTTGGCTCAAAAGCCTGTCTGCAAGGTAGCGGGGTGGCAGTGATTTAGTTTTACAGAAATGGACGCCATCCCATTTCAAACCCCCAACCTGGAGGACCAGGAGACTGAGTTTGTCTGACCTTTCACCATTGACCAACCTGGTAGGAGTAGCTCTCAAGATGCTCGGAGGCATCACCCAGTATAGCTCAATGGGTCAATGAGGTACGCAAACCGTCGCACCACATTAAGGTCTTCTCCTACTTTGTAGGAGGACAATCTCCTTCAATTCGAAGAACGGAGCACTTTGCATGATTTATGGGCAGTAGCCATAAAGTAGACCAGTCCCAAAGCTTATCCAAGGCTCCCTGAATAGCTTCGGAACCCCCAGGAACATCGACAATGTTCCACAGCTCCAGGTCATTAGCAAATAGCAGCGATGGTACCTCAAGCTCCGCGGGTAGGTCATTCACATAGATAGAGAACAGCAGCGGTCCAAGGACTAAGCCCTGCGGCACGCCACTAGGGACAGACTACCTAAACGACAAGCCCCGGCCTACCCGTACACACTGTTCTCTACCCTCCCAAAAGACAGTCACCCAATGAAGGGCGCGGCCAGATACCCCGTATGAGGTCAGCGTTTGCGCGAACCACAAGTGGGGTACCTTGTCAAATGCCTTCGAAAAGTCGACCAAAAGTACGTCCAATACGTGGCCGTTACCCAATGCATCCGCCCAACTTTCGCGAGCCACCAGTAGATTCGTCAGACACAAAAATCCCTTCCGGAATCTGTGTTGTACATTGCTAAGTAGATTAAACCTACTCAGATGACTCTCCAATGAATCTCACACCACTTGCTCGAGGAGTTTGACTACTACACTCGTGAGGCTAACTGGCATGTAATCTGCAAACAGACTCCTGTTCTTATTTTTGAAGATGGGACAGATGACAGCTTCCTTCCATTCGGAAGGCAATGCACATCTGTCAAGTGATTTCTGAAATACCAGAGCGAGCGGTCCACTTAGTTCCGCGCACAACCAGGCGTCCGGGTAGGCGATAACGCGAAAATAACCTATACCTAGTAACTAACGAGCAGAAGAGTGCGATAGCAAGCAACACAGAAATTCTGACGGTACCAAGACAGTTACCACTATTCGTAACGTGGGCCTGCGTTGCCGCAAGTTTCAACCAACAAAAATGGTGAGCGAAACAAGTTGCATTGTAAAGCGGTTTTGGGAAGGATACAAGTGAAGCACGAACCTGGGAGAGCAGTTTCCAGCCGCGCATCCTCGGTCTCTTCCAACTCCTGCTGTTCCTCCTCTGGGTCACGGTAGCGAAATAGGTCGACCATGACATTCCAAGGTTGTGTACGAATATCTTCACCTCTCATGCGGCGGACTTCGCGAGTAAGTAACCACCAAACGACCGCAATCGAATTTGCAGACTAAAGTGTTAGGAAAAGAACCGTTGAACGCTCACCTTGTTGTTGCAAGGGATAACGATATCTACCCGCTCAATGGGGGAATCAGTAGTGCACAGGGCGATGACCGGAATGCACACAGAGCTGGCCTCCATGACTGGCTGATGATCACTTTTCGGGTCACTGACTACAAGCAATCGAGGCTCGCGGAAACATGACTGAGACTAGAAGGAGAAAAACAAACGTACTTGCTTCTGGTTAGTAAACGCCCCAGGTGTGAAGCGCCCGGCGACAGCACTGGATCGAGTATATGTGCTAAACTTCAATACAGCGCGTTGCGAAAACGGTTTAGAACCAATTGCGCAAACATCACTAGGATTGTCTACGGCACAAATCGCTCGAGCAGCGAGTAAGATTTTTTCCCATGTCTTGTTAGGTTTTATGATGAAATTGCCTTCTTTTGTACGTCCATAAATGTAATTTGACATCAGGAAATTTACACTCTCCTCTCCCACGTGAACATCGGCAACAAGCATAAGTCTCAAATCATCCTCTGACAACTCCAAAACAGGGAGCCCTCCAGACATGATGAAGAAGCTTGGGCGCGACGCGTGCAACTGAACGGTAAGTTGAAGAGGTAAAACAACATGGAATTAAAATTAGAATAGGTAACTGGCACATAGTCAGCAATCGGAGGACATTAGTGATACATATTTAGTGCTCAAGCTGAACAATAAAAGTGTTTATGCAGCAGTGAATGCGCTGAAGTGATTAAATCATTGACGTCACATGAACCACCTGTTCAGCTTGCTTTTACTAACATCGCTAAAATATAACAATTAAACCTTTGTACTTAAAGTGCACGGCTAATTTACCTTACTTTTTATCTTTTCCGGTGGAAAAGATTTGCATCTTTTTAGGCGGAAACTTGAATTTTTGCGCATGTTGTCCTACTTTCCTTGTAAATTTAAGGAACAGTTTTGTAATTATGCTGAAAATGTATTGTCAATGGATGCGGTTCGGTGTCGCTCCTCTCAATACCAACATCCCATGACCGGTTTCGTCTCAGCTTAGGTCAGGTACCACGGACGATGGAGGCTTTCATTTAAAGAGCGTCTTGGTTATTGTGCCGGAAAGTCATCCACAACCACCGACACTTGGACATTGGATTGACTCTGCTCACTTCTTCAAAAGCAGGAACTGAGCACAAGTACAACCTTTGCAGTTGAATGGGCCGATCTGGTCTTAGTATTTATCGTCTTATCCAACCCTGGACATATCTGTCGCCACCTACTCACACTGCTCCAATCCTGCTCCCACCTACGTGGCCACACACTGAGGCTCACACATCAGCAGAGCCGGCTGAACTGCAGTCGACACTATTTCGCTGCCGACGGTGGTATGCTCTGCCTGCCGATTTAGTCTTTTCACCTACTGTGGCCGATTTTAAGACCCGCCTGGAATGTCATCAGGCCCAGCTACACCGCAATGTTCCCTAAGATAACTGCCTTCTACTTGGCGGGGTTTCTCACCTTTTTCTCTTCCACCTGATTCCTTTCCATAGCCGTTGCGGAGGGTGTGGGGGATTTCACTCTTTGCGCCGGCGTGCAAGCTGTTTAACTGCCGCGAGTCCAGCTCGCTATAAGGTTGCTTCGCCTTTTAGCAGACCTGACCCGACCGCTTTTTACCCTACGGTTCACGTAAAGCTTGATCATTTTTCCAATTAAATACAAAGTTCCAATGTTCCAAGGTGTCTGACTGTTTCCAGAAATCAGAGACGCACGTGTTCTAGGCTGTGCAGTCACAACACACCCTGTCCCTTAGCCTGAGAGCTTCGTTTGATATGCTAACGGGCTTTTATATAGCCTCTGTAGTACCGCAACTTTTCTTTCTCGTGACATTCACTACTGTTATCCCTACTTTAAGCTGACTGCCTAGCTTCATCTTGCTGACTTATCCAGTCTCATCTAAACGATCTTTTGCTTTCTGACACTTCCCCAAACACTTCTGCTTCATCTTCAATCTTCATTCCTTACTGATCCGTGTTCTGATCGATTCTCGTCGTATTTCGCCACTTATGATATACGTGTATATGCGAGATTTCAATAACAATTACATGCATAGGGGTACAATAGTTCAGGCATCGCCGCAATTGATTGACTGCATTCCTGATGCATTCCTTTCTTCTGTCTGTGTGGCTGTCTGTGTTCGTTTCCTTTTTTCTCCCGAGTCTGTCACAGGTACGGCGACACGCACCCAAGGAATTGTCCTCCGTTTCGACAACAATACAAGGCACACAGTTCCTTTACCTGGAAATGAGCGGAAAATTATCAACCTTTTCACAACATACTTACCGGACAAATCAATCAATAACTTGCACTGATACAATTCTTCCGCGGCATGAACCACTGAGTTCAATTTACCTAACAATACTTCTTCCACATATCTCTTGACTGGAGGACTTTCGACTACGGAAGGCACATTCTCCTGCCAATACAAAGCTTGAACAATCGGTCATTCTAAGCTCTTCAATCCGCTTTGACCGCTCAAATGGCCGTGGTTTCCACTATCTCTAATCAATTTCACTACATACCCCGGGGATCTGCGATTCTTTCTTCGGAACCTATCCTGTCCTCCAAGACTTCAACATATTTCAACGTATATTCTTCGAGACTTCACGTGGTTCTGTAAATGATCAACACATCATATCCAGAAAGAAGGCTTAGTTCCTGACCTACCGATCTGGCACAGGGGAGGACCCAGGCACGCAATGTCCACTCGCATAACGAATCAGTCAGCAGAAAAATGGGATGCAACTTGACTGCGAATAACGGAGCAAAAAAACGTTCAACAAGAAACATAGCCAGTTACAACTTGCTATTCAATGGATTGGCGGCAGTGTTTCAGGACGTGGTGGGTTTTCGCCTGGCAAGCGTTCTCCCTATAAAAAGCCACAAACGTCCGTTTAACAACACTGCAACGTGGCGAATGTGACTCGCCACTGAATAAAGTCACAGCCCATAACTTCACACTGGCAGCTCAATTAGGATCTTCATACTGGATGGCTTGCTCTTCAATTATCTCCCAATGGATCACTCAGGATTCTTTATCTATTATTAGTCGAGGTATGACTGCGATATATGGCAGAGCGATTATGTCCAAACATATGGATCCCGATCCCACTACAACCAAATCGTTCTTTCGCATGTTCAACATTGCACAGTTCCAAGCGTGGATATATGAACAATTTTCTACTGTCACTACAGTTCCCATAAAATGTCTGCACAGCTGTACATTCCTGATCATGCCCCAATTGGCGTGCCTCGCATAGTCGAGAATAAAATAGTTATTTATTTATTTAATGCACTACATATTCCAGCATAAGTACAATATCCCGCGGCGCATAAATAATTGCTTGAAAACAGTATATAGAAATAGAATAAGCTAGGACGGAACAAAGGGCGCAGAGGTTAACGGATGACTTTTTACTCAGCATGCCACTAGGCTCACTGAACTACGCTGGCTTTTGCCAGTATTGGGTTGGTCCAAATAAGTTTGTATACTCAGTTGCTTGGAATACTCGACAGCCCAACCCGAAAAAAATTTAAGTATTAATCTTTCGCTTACATGGCTAATTTCCTAGTCTTCTCTTTTTGATTCACCGCATGTTTTTTGATTGCTCTACTGGAAACGGCATTGTCCACACAACTGAACTGTAGCAATCCGGAGCCTCCCACGGGTTGCTTGAATAAGATAAAATCCTAAATATACTTACCATCTCATAGTACAGTTAGAGAAGGTTTGTTGTATACCGTTATGTGCGTTGCTTTTATTTGCCTGACCCAAGCCACAAGCGAGATACACACGGCGCGACGGTTGGCTTCAACACGCCGCTCCATTGCATGATCTCACACGTTCCTTCCTAGTTAAGTCCAATCAACGCAAGGCAACCGTGCACTTCCTGCACCCAAGAAGAGTGAATTTCCAGCTACAACACACGCGCTAATTGCACAAATAAAATCAGTTAAACCTACGACAGCGTATAGTGGGCCACCATTTTAAAAATGTAGCGGTGGCGACACCATCGATGCATCCCAGCAACAACGTCTTATTTGACTATGGCTTACTCCCTCAGAAACGTGACAAATAGGGAACAACTGACGTCCCGTAAGCCCGTATGCGGACATAAATGACTTTGTACGTTTGTCTGGTAGAAGAAGTTGGCCTACATTCCGTCATTGCTCAAAGGAGGGGTGACTGGCCTCAGTAGGTGTCACGGACGCTATTGTTTCACAAGAGCGAACATGTACGCAATAATGTTAATACACACTAGCATATAAATTCCGCTGCATGCAGCAAGCTGTTGCAGGGACCTGGTTAGCACCTGGAGCTGCCAGATTAAAAGTCCGGGAACATCACATGTGAGTAATACAAGCAGTGTGGTATTACACAAGCGGTGACAGACCATAGAATTAAATAATGGGGCACGGATGATCTGTCGTGAGACGAAGAACTTGGATCACCTGACTTTAGTGAATGTTTCATTCACTTTCTTCTACCACGTGCGGCAAAGGCTTAGCTTAACGCCGAGATATTTCACTAGTGTACAGAAGTTGAGAATGACACTTTTACTAATAAGATGCGGGGTGTGCGTTAGGAGCCCTTGAGAACAGTTTTCCTTGGCTAGTGAAAATATAACATCTTCGCATTTTGCTACGTTGTGCGAAAGACAGCGCGAGTTGGACCCGGAAGTGAGGCTGTCCAAGCAGCATTGCAGGTTGGTTGTTGAATCGGTGCTGTGATTGTCTGCACCAAGGACCACGTCATCGGCACACTTTATTAGGGTGGCTTCTGTTGGAGAGTGCATGGAGTTAACGTCGGCGGAAAATAGGAATGGTGAAAAAACTTCCTGAAGGACACCTGAATTTGTGCTAAGTGAAGAAGAGCTTTTCCCCAACGGTATACTGCTTGCGATTGGCAAAATAATCAGTAAGCAATGCTACTAACGAAGTATGAATTCCAGAGACTAGCAGCTCGTGTGACAGCAGCTCACGGTTTACACAACCGAAAGCGTTTCTGCTATATATGAAGCAGGTCCGCATAGATTTGTTATTCTATCGACCCATGAACCCCGTAGTTAACAACGCTGTCTAATGCATCGGGAGTGGACCTTGAACTAGCTAGGCCTCGTTATATTCTCTTTACTGCTGTGGCATTCATTCTTAAAACTTTTGGACCACACCCGCCTCAGGCTCCCTATGCCTATAGGTCTCAACTCAAGGCTTCTCCCCTTTTGAGCATCAAATTAGGTTCTCATTAGTAAAAGAAACGGCCTCATGATACTCGTCTCCGTCTGATACATTATCTACATGCTTGGTCCCCTGCAAAATTGCTATTTCAGGTCTGTGATTGAGTTTTGCCTCTCGGCTCCACTATCATGTTTCTCAGTTCACAACTACGTTCCCCTCTCTTGTTTGGCCTCTCTTTTGGTACATATCGCAACTGTTCAATGGTGGTTTAGGTTCCCATAGTGTCAGCACAACATACTAGGCCACATATGATTCGCTTTCCTACTGCGCCTCGCACTCTTAAACCTTCTGGGCCACACCGGCCTCAGGCTCCAAATGCCTATAGGTCTCAAACAAAGGCTTCTTTTCCTTTGAGCATCGGTTAACGTTCTCATTGGCATAAGAAACGGCCTCATGATACTGGCCTCCGTCTGGTACATTAGCTGTATGCTTGGTCCCTTGCA